TTGGTGGCGGGGTCGGGCGAGGGGGAGCGCGAGTCGAGAGACTGCAGGTCCACGTCTCCCTGCGGGCGGGCGAACACAACACGCGAGCCCGACTCGCTCGCTGCTAAACTCTCTCTCTCCTCGCCCTCACCTTAACCATCACCACAACTCACCACACTCACCACACTCCACTCATCTCGCCTCACTCAACACGCCTCGCAACTCAGCCTCATCTCACTCTTATCTCTCTCCCCTCACCGTCTCCTCGTGCGCAGTTCTCACCTCATCCTCACCTCATCCTCCCCTCCCTCGCGCTTCTCCTCACCTCACACTCCTCTCTCTCATCCCCGCACCCCGGCCGCTACAACTCATCACTCTCCGCTGGGCCTATGCCGAGACGAAGCCTGCGCTATTGCCTGGTCCCCCCGCCTGCCCGCCCGCCCGCCCGCCCGCGCTGTCTCAGTACCGCGCGGCCCGGCTCCCCGGTGCTGCTCGGCATGGCTGCGTCTCCTCTCGTCCTCGGGCGAGCGAGATTACGAGTGGGGGGAATGATGATGATTATGATGATGATTATGATGATGGCAGTGGAGGGGTGGAGAGCACCCGAGGAGACAGCGGAGAGATCGTGCGGGTGGAGAGAAGCAGAGGGAGGGATGGGGAGGGATGGTGGGGGGGGGTAGCGACGCCGTTACCCCGGGCGAAGGTAAACAGCCGCTCCCTCCCCTCCCTGCCCGCGAGGCGACCCCCTGGGGGACCCCCCTGATGGGACCCCCTGGGGGGACCTCGACCCCGGGCGAGATTTGGTGCAGGGGAAGGGATTGTGGGCGAACAACAGAGCCCGGAGCTGCACATCAGCACGCATTGGCCGAAAGGGTGAGGGTGGGGTGGTGAAGTATGGTCAAACAACCCCCACGACAGACACGCACACCTGTCAAGCCCTGAAATTATCAGTGCCCCCCCTAGCTTATTACATAACAATTTAGATCCTTATTGATCCTTATTATAAATCTCAACGTTCATCCTACAAAGTCCCATCGCTAGGGAGAAACACAAAGAAATAAATGTTTGTTTATTTGCCCGTATTGAAACTAAAAACTAAATTTCCCTGTACAAGAATACGGGTTAATATTTTTGGGTCTTTCGGTAAAGTCACGTAGATAGGGTCAAAGAAAATAAAAATAAAAACTACCGACGTTTCGATCGCAACACAAGCAATCGTCATCAGGAGAAAAAAAATATCGGGAAAACTGCCGAAGCAGGCTGTTTTTAAAAGTTTTAAATGGGTGTAGCCCAAGCGGTCGTAAACGAAGTGGGCGGAGCTTGTGATGTTAAAGTGAGAAATTTGCATGTCAATGTAAGATCGCAGAGCCACCTCCACGACGAGGGCGCGGAGGTGGCCATTGCATTGTGAGAGATTAGCATGTCAATGTAAGATCGCAGAGCCACCTTCACGACGAGGGCGCGGAGGTGGCCATTGCATTGTGAGAGATTAGCATGTCAATGTAAGATCGCAGAGCCACCGCCACATCGAGGAAAACGTGCAGCGGCGGCTGCGTTAGTGTGAGACATTTAACCTGTTAATGTAAATAAGACATTTGACCTGTTAATGTAAAACCAGAGAGTCGAAAATAACTACTAACATCGGAAGGTAGGATGGAAACATCACAGCCAGTTATGACTTAAACTGGTTAATAACGTCCTTCCAATGATTGTACCCATCTTCTCGGTTGAAATTGTGTCTGTGTGTATATTTATGGATGGCTTCATGAAAGAATCTTTGTTGATAGCCAGTGGGCTTGCACTGTTGGTAGTACCTTAATCTTAGAGAAATCAATTTCGTGTGAGCCCACCACATTAAAACAATGGTCAGCCACGGCCAAGGTATTGGTCCGACCGTGTTCACGAACACGGTTCGAGACATGTCGCTTAGTTTTCTCCAATGTAACGACTGCCACAGACACAGCTTAGTTTGCAGACGCCGGGGTATTGCATGTCAGGGATCACATCGTTCACAGATGGGATCAGATCACGAATTGTATGTACTGTATTAAATCAAACCTGGATTTTGTGTTTGCTCATGATTTTGGAAATCATTTGTAGTGACCCCTGCTATGTATGGCAAGGTTATGGTTTTGATTGGGTCCTTAGATGGTTATTACCGAACGGTTGGGGTGATAGATTTACGGATTGTGTTGTCTGAATATCCATTCATCTTGAGAGCTTGGTGTACGTGTTCCAGTTCACGGGCTAGGTGATAACGGTCGGAAATACATCGAGCTCTATGGTGTAGAGTTTTGATGAGGGAATTCTTCTGGGATAGATGGTGGTGGGAGTCAGGTTTTAGGTAGGCATCCATATGGGTAGCTTTCCTGTAGACAGAGTATCCCATTGAGCCATCTGGTCTCTTTTCAATTAAAACATCCAAGAATGGTAACTTTCCATCCTTTTCCAACTCCTTGGTTAATTTGATGGCTGGGTGTATGGAATTGTTGTGGTTGAGGAATTGGTTCAGAGCTGGTCAGCCATGTGGCCAGATGACGAACGTGTCATCTATGTACCTCTTCGACAAAGACGGATGTAGAGTGGATGCCTGGATGGCATCTGTCTCAAAATTGTTTTCCATGAAAACACTGGCTACAACTGGAGATAAGGGAGAACCCATTGGGGTACCTTCAACTTGTTTGTAGAATGTTCCATTCCAGGTGCAGTAAGTGTTGGTGAGGCAGTCTCACCAGGGCCGGTACATCAGCATTCAGTCCTTGTTGTACCAAATCTTCAATGATTGCAATCGTGTCAATCACAGGAACTTTGGTAAACAGAGATCACATCGAAACTAACGAGCAAATCACCTGGAGATAGTGAGATGTCCTTAATTAACGATACCAAGTAAGTTGAGTGCAGCTGAGGTGGTCATACCAGTGAATGGTTGTAAGATCTCAGACATAATTTGGGCCAGTTTGTAGGTGGGTGAGTCAATGGTGGAGACGATAGGACGAAGGGGTGTCCCTTCTTTATGGATTTTTGGTAAGCCATACAATCTGGGTGGTCTAGCAGCAGAGGGTTTTAAGGAAAACCGCTTGGTTGGTTCGATCAACGATGTCGAATCAGTGATATTGTTGGTTTTCGTAACGAGGCGGTTGGTGGGATCTCTTTTAATTTTGGTAAAGCTACCATCATCAAGTAGGTCCTGAATTTTGTTATTGTATATGGTTTTGTCCATGATGACTGTGGCATTGCCCTTGTCGGCTGAGAGGATGACCATATCATCTCTCTTTTTTAATTGCGAAAGCTCAAAGCGCTCATCTTTACTGATTTGAACCTCCTTTGCCAGTACCAAAATATAATAATAGGGTTTTTCCCCTTTTTTATGGTAACAAAACTGAAACCTTTTTACAAGGATTCATCCCTGCATTAACCACAATACCTGCAGTCAAAATGCAAACAAAAAACATACTATGATAATGTTGTTAATGCAGACATGAATCCTTGTAAAAAGGTTTGGGAGAAGTGTCAGCAGCAGATGTCAGTGTAAAGGAGATCGGTATTACCTTAGCGTCGCGGCATCTCTTCAGAAATGCGAGCGACTCGATCAGATGAGCCTTCTTGTCTCGAAGTTTATTTAAAGATCTAATAGTTGTGTGAAAACTCTCCCCGTAGAGGCGGTTAAATTTTGACTTAAAGCTTTCGTGACTGGAGGAATTCATATTTTTTTGGTCTTTCGGTAAAGTCACGTAGATAGGTTCAAATAATTTCTCCTGTGTATGACTGCTTGTGTTGCGATCGAAACATTAGAGTTTTTAGTTATTTTCTTTGAACCTATCTACGTGAATTTACCGAAAGACCCAAGAATATGAATTCCTGCAATCACGAAAGTTTTAAGTCAAGATTTAATACGGGTTAAACCTGTGGGTTGACACGGTATGGACACGGCGTGAGGAGGCCTTCATCCAATGGGTAGGAGATTGACAATAACGGAGGTGCGCGATGATCTATGGAACGCATTTCGCAACCGTACGTGGCATTGCATTGATGTGCGAGGTGCGTCTTGATTTAAAATCAACACCCCTTTTACCTTCGGAAGCCTCCATCTAGTCTCAATCCTTTTTTTATTTATTCCAGAAGGGCTCTGCTGCATATGGACATTTCGAAACTTTCAGCGTTTGTTTTATTTGGTCTCTTTGGAGACAGCCAGAGCTAACCCAGCACCACGCACAGGCATACGGGGGGGGGGGCGACACTCAAGGCTCCACAAAAAGATGGATTTAAGAATCCCCATTCAGTGCTGCCATCTGTTGGGATGACGCCATTTACCAAGAACATTCTCGCCGAGTCGAGGATTTTTTTCACGAGGGTCCTGTATTGCGTTTCTTGGCCGATTCAATTCAGGAGAGTTTGTCTTCGTTTAGAGCAGTGGTTCTTCTAAACCTGGGGTGCACGCACACCCTGGGGGTGCGAGATGCCCTTTTTGGGGGTGCAAGACGCCATTTTTGGGGGTGCAAGACGTGCCAGATTTTTTTAGAAGGTAAATAATCGAAACACAAATTAAGCACGGGCACATACGTGCAACTACTTTGTTTCATCAAACTTATCCATTTATTAACATCATTTTTTAAAGAATTGAGATGACCAAATTGGTGCAAGGCTGCAGTAACGGTTAAGAACCACTGGTTTCAAGGTCTGAGAAGTATCTTGAACCAATGCTTCACTGTCTCCACCCCCGCCCAAACGACCGTGTGGCTGATGGGATGTAAATGTTGTGGGTTCAACTAATAACTTATTGGCATGTTGTTTCCGTGAGGAACCTCACGAATTGGCTGTGTCGGGTGGTGGCGGGTTGAATGATACATTTATATTTACGCGATCTATGTCCCAAAAAATTAGGGATAATATCGGTTGTGAAAGCCTACTTGTTAAACTAAGCAATTGCATGTGTGTTTCTTCTGTGGAGGGACAGACACGGGAAGGAGGCAGATTGTCGCGGACTGCCGTTGGGCTTTAGTAAGAGGTGGCAAACGCAGGAATGTCAGTGCAAGAGAAACTTTATTGGGGCCCATAGGCTCAGTCACAGTGGGGCCCGGGGTCACGGGGACGGCAGTCTAGGACCCCAAATAAGAACGAGTGGGAGCACGCGAGCACTGGGCGGGCAGGCGGGCAGGGTCAGGGTTGGGGTTAGTGATCGGGTAAGATAGAGCTGGGGTTAGGGTTAGGATTAGAGATATTGTGGGGCATTGAGTTAGGAGATAATGGATATAAAGTGTTGGCGTTGTGGTTAGAGTTAGGGTTGAAGTGAGGCTTAAGGGGGTTAGGATCACACAGCTAGATTCAGAGTTAAGATCACAGGGTATGAGTTATGATTACAGGCTTAGCTGGGTAAGGTTTATAAGGTTAGTTATCAGGTTAGTAATGATTATAGAGTCGGTGGAACAGGGGTGCTGATTATGACCAAGTGCCCCCCCCTGCCCCCACTCCCCCTCCCCTAGCGGATGAACCGCTCCATGTGGAGCCGTACGGTGGCCGCGCTGTCCATGAACTCGTGCAGGAAGCGGCGCTCCATCTCCCTCTGTCACAACGGGGTCATAGGGGCACAGGGTCATAGGGTCACGAGATTGGATAGGTGGAGGGCACATTTGCTGCAACGCATCCTCCTGGCGAGACTTCACGGTGCCCCATGGGGAAGTGTCACCGCATCTGTGTGCGATCCACCAATCCTCGCTAATGCCTCCACAGTGCTGGGTAACGCAGGACCCCCCCTGCGTAGAGGAGGAGGAGGAGGGGGGGGGTGGCTCCTTGCGTCGTTCACCACGTAGTTGTGCGCGCGCTGAAGCTCCAGGCGCAGGAACTCCTCGACGGGGAGGATGGCGTACGGTGTGCGCAGAGCGAGGAACGCGCACGCGGGGGAGCGCAGCGCGTGCACCTGCCTGGGGGATGGGGAGAGGGGATGCGGGGGGGGCGGGAGAGGGTGGACAGGTGCGGTGGCTTGTGCAAAGGTGATGTTGCGACGCTCTAAACACTGCCAAGTACAAGCCGAGCAGTCCTAGGTAGCGGGCTCGCCTCGGATACCAACAATTGCAAATTCAAACCGATTTTTGTATACTTGTACGATCCTATTAAATCAGAGCAATAACCAATACAAAGTAACACGATTTCTCTAAGAATCTGGTTGAACATTTATAAATTATATTGACAGATACAAAATCAAAATGCTCGCTGTCCTTCTACATGAATATTCCCTGGTGTCCCCCCCCCCCCCCCCCCCACCGTCTCGCCTGCCCCCGAGACGAGCAAGGGCTTCGATGTTGTCAGTGTCTCGTGGCTGGCGACTCCCCCCCCCCCACCCCCCCCCCCCCCAAAGTGCTAAATCATTTGATCAACCCCAGAGGGATTAGGGGGCCCCTTCGTGTGTCTCGGCGCACCTGGGATCGTCCCCAGAGATCCAGCCTCGAACCTCGAGCAGACAGAAGAAGCACCGCGCCGTGACGTCGACTCCCGGCTGCTGCTGCTCCAGGCACACGAACCCGGCGGCAGCCATCTGTACGGCGCGCAGCGATGGGCAGGGTGAGTGTGTGGTACAGTGTGTGTGTGTGTGTGGTACAAGGTGTGTGTGTGTGGTACAGGGAGTGTGTGTGTGTGGTACAAGGTGTGTGTGTGTGGTACAGGGAGTGTGTGTGTGTGATACAGGGTGTGTGTGTGTGTGTGATACAGGGTGTGTGTGTGTGGTACAGGGTGTGTGTGTGTGTGGTACAAGGTGTGTGTGTGTGGTACAGGGAGTGTGTGTGTGTGATACAGGGTGTGTGTGTGTGTGTGGTCCGGCAAAACAACCCCCTACCTCCTCGCGGTGCCGGACGGGCAACTCTGTCGTGGACAGTGCTGTGGGGGGAGTTCCAATTTTGATTGGCTCCTCCCCTCATGGCATATGTGTCCACCACAGGGGCTAAACGGGGGCTCTGGACGGGTGCGAGGGGCTGGTAACCCCTCCACCTTCAATTAATTACCACAAAACCACGAATTAAAGTGAAATATGTAACAACTAAGCTTGTGCCGGAGGCCCCGGGGGGCCAGGCGTCTATGACGTCTCCTGGCCAAACCCCAATTGGCGGAGCCAGGAGATTGAATACCTACCCTCGGGGCTACTCCAGAAACAACGAAAAGCCACTACGGGTGGCCACGTGGAATGTTCGAACGCTCACTGCAGAGGAGAGGCTGCCACTCCTCTGCCGGGAGCTGGACCGGTACCGCCTGGATCTCTGTGGCATTCAGGAGGTCCGGTGGACCGGTTCTGGCTCCTGCCACCATGAGGGGTGGACAGTCCTCTACTCGGGGCAGCAGACTGCCAAACAACAGGGTGTGGGTCTTCTTTTGAATAAAAGAATGAAGGGGGCGTGGGAGCGTGGCGGTGAGGTGTGGGAAGCTGTAAGCCCCAGGCTACTTTGGGCTCGCCTTCCCATCAACCGGAGGCGAGGAATGGTGGTCGTGGTTACTTATGCCCCCACCGAAGATGAACATCCGTGGAGGGATGCAGGCAAAGCCGATGAGTCAGATGCCTTCTATGACCTCCTGTCACAGGTGCTGGCTAAAGTGGCCCCTCGGGATAGAGTCATCATGTTGGGTGACTTCAATGCCCGAGTTGGTCATGATACTGGCACCTGGTCTGGAGTGATTGGAGGGCATGGGCCAGATCAGCTCAATAACAACGGTAGGAGGCTGCTAGATTTTTGTGCAGCCCATGGGCTTGTAATTACCAACACGCTGTTCCGGCATCGGCGCATCCACACAACATCATGGATGCATGCCGGGTCCAAGCAAGAACATCTGCTGGACTACATAGTGACGGACCAGCGAATGCGAGCCCATGTCCTTGACACCAGGACCTACCGTGGAGCTGATCTGCCCTCTGACCATCGACTAGTCATCTGTAAGATGCGCCTGCCATTCTTCCACTCCGGTGGTGGGTGTACACCCAGGACCCCATTCCAACCTAAAGTGGCCTGGTCTCAGTTATCTGATGAAAGTTGCAAGCGAGAATTTCATCATCGCTTGCGGCTGGGATTGGCATCGTCCACGACTCCTCCTGATGTCGAGGGTAAATGGGCGAGGTTTAGGACTGTGACTCATGCAGCTGCAATGGCTGCTTTGGGTACGCGGTCCAGACCTCCCCAGACACCCTGGATGACAGAGGAGTTGTTCAGGATGGTTGAGAAAAAGCGACAGGCCCACTGTCATCGGCTACAGAATCCCACGTCAGAGAATGAGGAGGCTTACCGCAGCCTTCGCTCGGAGGTTCGGAGAGCCGTGAGGCGCTGCAAGGATGGGTGGTGGTCGCGGGTTGCTGAGGAGATGGAGTCTGCCTCAGTGGCCCGTGATCACAAATCGCTATTTAACTCCATCAAAAAAGTAACCTGCAGCGCCACACCTATTACCATCATTAGGGGGAAAAACGGTGATCCAATTTCCGACCCCCAGGAACAGGTTCGCAGATTTGCTGAGCATTTCTGTGAGGTCCTGGGGGAGGGAAAATCCCACAGCCAGGAAAACATCATGGCACAAAGTGAGGATGACCCTGCTGAGGCTGCGGTGCCTCAAATATTGGATGAAGTCACCCCCTGTGAGTGGCTGGCTGAGGTGCCATCTGCTGAGGAAGTATTGAAGGCGATCCGGAGTCTGAGACCAGGAAAGGCAGCGGGCAGAGATGATCTCCCAAGCGAAATGCTGAGGGAGGGTGGCGTTTGTGCACAGACTGCCCTTTATGACATCATAACAACAGTCTGGACCACTGGACGGGTTCCGCAGGATTGGAAGGATGCCCTGGTGGTCCCCCTTTTTAAGAAGGGGGACCGCACAGACTGTAACAACTACAGGGGCATCTCACTCCTCAGTGTGCCGGGAAAGGTCCTGGCAAGGATTATTCAGCATCGCCTTGCCAGGCACGCTGAGGAGAGGCTTGCGGAGCCCCAATGCGGTTTCAGGAAAGGGCGGTCCTGCACAGATGCCATATTTTCTGTCCGTCTGCTACAGCAGAGGTGTAGGGAATTCCAACAAGACCTACATCTCTGCTTTATTGACCTGGTCAAGGCCTATGATACCATCAGTAGGCCTGGGCTCTGGGTCGTTCTTCGTGCTTTTGGAGTACCTGACCCTCTGCTCACGATCATTAAGGACCTTCATGATGGTGAGCGGGCCCGGGTAAAACTACGTGGCCGGGAGTCAGAGCCATTCCCTGTACACCTTGGGGTGCGACAGGGATGTCCTCTGGCTCCCACATTATTTAACATCTATTTTGACCACGTAGTTCGTGAAGCCTTCAATAGCTGTACCGGGGGAATCTCCATATGGTACAGATATAATGGGAGGCTAATCGATGCCCGGGTGCGGTCAAGGGATGGCTCCCTATTGCTCAACCACGTTATGTATGCTGATGACTTGGTAATAGCGGCTCAGTCAGAGGAGGAGTTGGAGACGCTGCTGCTGAGACTGGAGCGTGCCACTAAGAGGTGGGGCCTTACCATCAGCCCCACCAAAACTAAGCACCTGCCTGGGTATTTTGTACCATCGGACACTCCACCCCCACAACTCCCAATCGGTGATGGGGCAGTTGTGGAGAGAGTGGAGAGTTTCCCATACCTGGGCAGTGTGCTTATGACTGGCTCCAGTTTAACAGCAGAGGTCTCACTCCGAATCAGTCGAGCGGCAATATCTTTTCATCGGTTGCGTAACGCTGTGTGGAAGCTACCTGGTCTGTCGCTCCGCACTAAGCTTCAGGTCTTCTCGGCCACGGTCATTCCCTCCCTTCTCTACGCTTGCGAAACGTGGACCCCCCTAATGGAACATCTTCGCCGGTTAGAAACATTTAGGCTGACCTGCCTACGATCCATCCTGGGTTTAACCAGACTGGATTGTGTGAGGAGCTCACAAATCCTTGAAAGATCTGGGCAGGGTCCCATCGGTGAGCTCCTCCGGCAGGCAAGGCTGCGATGGCTGGGTCATGTAGCCCGCATGCCCAGCCACCGCATGCCGAAACAGCTTTTGTTTGGCCGGATTGAGGGGGCTAAGCGGGCGCGGCACGGGCTAGAGAAGAGATGGAGTGATGTGGTACAGGAGGACGTGGAGCTGAGTGGACTTGCCGATGACTGGTACCAGCGGTGTCAAGATCGGCCTCTGTGGAGGAGGCTCGTGAAGGATGCTACTGGGCAGTTGGAGGCAGTCGCCCTCCAACAACAACGGAGGGCGGAGGAGCGACGCTCACAACAGCGAGCGGAGCGCCGGGTGGCTAAAGCACAGCAGGTTGGCACAGTAGGGGGCACAGGTGGTGCATCAGCCAGTCATCTCAGTCAGTCGACCCGTGGCACCTGGGTCTGCCCCGTGACCTCCTGCCAGCGGGCGTTCGACACTTCACGTGGCCTCAGGGTGCACATAGCCTGGCACAAGCGTCGTGGTGACGTCACCGCCACTTAGTGGCGAATGGCGGTTGTTGTTGTTGTTGTGTGTGTGTGTGATACAGGGTGTGTGTGTGTGGTACAGGGTGTGTGTGTAGTACAGGGTGTGTGTGTGTGTGATACAGGGTGTGTGTGTGTGTGTGATACAGGGTGTGTGTGTGTGGTACAGGGTGTGTGTGTGTGTGGTACAAGGTGTGTGTGTGTGGTACAGGGAGTGTGTGTGTGTGATACAGGGTGTGTGTGTGTGATACAGGGTGTGTGTGTGTGGTACAGGGTGTGTGTGTAGTACAGGGTGTGTGTGTGTGTGATACAGGGTGTGTGTGTGTGTGTGTGTGATACAGGGTGTGTGTGTGTGGTACAGGGTGTGTGTGTGTGGTACAGGGTGTGTGTGTGTAGTACAGGGTGTGTGTGCGTGGTACAGGGTGTGTGTGTGTGTGTGGTACAGGGTGTGTGTGTGGTACAGGGTGTGTGTGTGTGTGGTACAAGGTGTGTGTGTGTGTGATACAGGGTGTGTGTGTGTGGTACAGGGTGTGTGTGTGTGGTACAGGGTGTGTGTGTGTGGTACAGGGTGTGTGTGTGTGGTACAGGGTGTGTGTGTGTGGTACAGGGTGTGTGTGTGTGATACAGGGTGTGTGTGTGTGTGGTACAGGGTGTGTGTGTGTGGTACAGGGTGTGTGTGTGTGTGGTACAGGGTGTGTGTGTGGTACAGGGTGTGTGTGTGGTACAGGGTGTGTGTGTGTGTGGTACAGGGTGTGTGTGTGGTACAGGGTGTGTGTGTGTGTGTGGTACAGGGTGTGTGTGTGTGTGTGGTACAGGGTGTGTGTGTGTGTGGTACAGGGTGTGTGTGTGTGTCGTACAGGGTGTGTGTGTGTGTGGTACAGGGTGTGTGTGGTACAGGGTGTGTGTGTGTGTGTGGTACAGGGTGTGTGTGTGGTACAGGGTGTGTGTGTGGTACAGGGTGTTCCGGCATCGGCGCATCCACACAACATCATGGATGCATGCCGGGTCCAAGCAAGAACATCTGCTGGACTACATAGTGACGGACCAGCGAATGCGAGCCCATGTCCTTGACACCAGGACCTACCGTGGAGCTGATCTGCCCTCTGACCATCGACTAGTCATCTGTAAGATGCGCCTGCCATTCTTCCACTCCGGTGGTGGGTGTACACCCAGGACCCCATTCCAACCTAAAGTGGCCTGGTCTCAGTTATCTGATGAAAGTTGCAAGCGAGAATTTCATCATCGCTTGCGGCTGGGATTGGCATCGTCCCCGACTCCTCCTGATGTCGAGGGTAAATGGGCGAGGTTTAGGACTGTGACTCATGCAGCTGCAATGGCTGCTTTGGGTACGTGGTCCAGACCTCCCCAGACACCCTGGATGACAGAGGAGTTGTTCAGGATGGTTGAGAAAAAGCGACAGGCCCACTGTCATCGGCTACAGAATCCCACGTCAGAGAATGAGGAGGCTTACCGCAGCCTTCGCTCGGAGGTTCGGAGAGCCGTGAGGCGCTGCAAGGATGGGTGGTGGTCGCGGGTTGCTGAGGAGATGGAGTCTGCCTCAGTGGCCCGTGATCACAAATCGCTATTTAACTCCATCAAAAAAGTAACCTGCAGCGCCACACCTATTACCATCATTAGGGGAAAAAACGGTGATCCAATTTCCGACCCCCAGGAACAGGTTCGCAGATTTGCTGAGCATTTCTGTGAGGTCCTGGGGGAGGGAAAATCCCACAGCCAGGAAAACATCGTGGCACAAAGTGAGGATGACCCTGCTGAGGCTGCGGTGCCTCAAATATTGGATGAAGTCATCCCCTGTGAGTGGCTGGCTGAGGTGCCATCTGCTGAGGAAGTATTGAAGGCGATCCGGAGTCTGAGACCAGGAAAGGCAGCGGGCAGAGATGATCTCCCAAGCGAAATGCTGAGGGAGGGTGGCGTTTGTGCACAGACTGCCCTATATGACATCATAACAACAGTCTGGACCACTGGACGGGTTCCGCAGGATTGGAAGGATGCCCTGGTGGTCCCCCTTTTTAAGAAGGGGGACCGCACAGACTGTAACAACTACAGGGGCATCTCACTCCTCAGTGTGCCGGGAAAGGTCCTGGCAAGGATTATTCAGCATCGCCTTGCCAGGCACGCTGAGGAGAGGCTTGCGGAGCCCCAATGCGGTTTCAGGAAAGGGCGGTCCTGCACAGATGCCATATTTTCTGTCCGTCTGCTACAGCAGAGGTGTAGGGAATTCCAACAAGACCTACATCTCTGCTTTATTGACCTGGTCAAGGCCTATGATACCATCAGTAGGCCTGGGCTCTGGGTCGTTCTTCGTGCTTTTGGAGTACCTGACCCTCTGCTCACGATCATTAAGGACCTTCATGATGGTGAGCGGGCCCGGGTAAAACTACGTGGCCGGGAGTCAGAGCCATTCCCTGTACACCTTGGGGTGCGACAGGGATGTCCTCTGGCTCCCACATTATTTAACATCTATTTTGACCACGTAGTTCGTGAAGCCTTCAATAGCTGTACCGGGGGAATCTCCATATGGTACAGATATAATGGGAGGCTAATCGATGCCCGGGTGCGGTCAAGGGATGGCTCCCTATTGCTCAACCACGTTATGTATGCTGATGACTTGGTAATAGCTGCTCAGTCAGAGGAGGAGTTGGAGACGCTGCTGCTGAGACTGGAGCGTGCCACTAAGAGGTGGGGCCTTACCATCAGCCCCACCAAAACTAAGCACCTGCCTGGGTATTTTGTACCATCGGACACTCCACCCCCACAACTCCCAATCGGTGATGGGGCAGTTGTGGAGAGAGTGGAGAGTTTCCCATACCTGGGCAGTGTGCTTATGACTGGCTCCAGTTTAACAGCAGAGGTCTCACTCCGAATCAGTCGAGCGGCAATATCTTTTCATCGGTTGCGTAACGCTGTGTGGAAGCTACCTGGTCTGTCGCTCCGCACTAAGCTTCAGGTCTTCTCGGCCACGGTCATTCCCTCCCTTCTCTACGCTTGCGAAACGTGGACCCCCCTGGTGGAGCATCTTCGCCGGTTGGAAACATTTAGGCTGGCCTGCCTACGATCCATCCTGGGTTTAACCAGACTGGATTGTGTGAGGAGCTCACAAATCCTTGAAAGATCTGGGCAGGGTCCCATCGGTGAGCTCCTCCGGCAGGCAAGGCTGCGATGGCTGGGTCATGTAGCCCGCATGCCCAGCCACCGCATGCCGAAACAGCTTTTGTTTGGCCGGATTGAGGGGGCTAAGCGGGCGCGGCACGGGCTAGAGAAGAGATGGAGTGATGTGGTACAGGAGGACGTGGAGCTGAGTGGACTTGCCGATGACTGGTACCAGCGGTGTCAAGATCGGCCTCTGTGGAGGAGGCTCGTGAAGGATGCTACTGGGCAGTTGGAGGCAGTCGCCCTCCAACAACAACGAAGGGCGGAGGAGCGACGCTCACAACAGCGAGCGGAGCGCCGGGTGGCTAAAGCACAGCAGGTTGGCACAGTAGGGGGCACAGGTGGTGCATCAGCCAGTCATCTCAGTCGGTCGACCCGTGGCACCTGGGTCTGCCCCGTGACCTCCTGCCAGCGGGCGTTCGACACTTCACGTGGCCTCACGGTGCACATAGCCTGGCACAAGCGTCGTGGTGACGTCACCGCCACTTAGTGGCGAATGGCGGTTGTTGTTGTTGTTGTTGTGTGTGGTACAGGATGTGTGTGTGTGGTGTGTGTGTGTGTGGTGTGTGTGGTACAGGGTGTGTGTGTGTGGTACAGGGTGTGTGTGTGTGGCACAGGGTGTGTGTGTGGTACAGGGTGTGTGTGTGGTACAGGGTGTGTGTGTGTGATACATGGTGTGTGTGTGGTACAGGGTGTGTGTGTGTTACACGGTTTGTGTGGAGCGGTAGCGATCAACGCGCTGCACTACGAACCCGGTGACGAACCCGAGTTAGATTTTCGTTCACGGCCAACACCAATGACGATGATCCAGTCCTGGGCCGTCCCTAGGTCGACTCAACCTCAAATGGGTACCTGGTGCGATGTGTAAACATCGCCACTCGGGAGACAAAGGCGGCCGGGCGTGGTTGCTGGCCACCCACCCCTTCGTGTGCCGTGCCGGCCTTCTTAGGTGCCCGCTCGCCAACAGCACTTGCCCCAAGAGTCTGTTAAGGCTATACGTGGGGGGGGGGGGGGGGGGTGGAATCTTTGCCTTTGTGTGGGATCCACGCGCTGCTCCACCCTCATCATTCCCTCCCCTCCCGCTCACCTGCGCAGGATCCCAGCCCCCGTCGCGGGCCGACGCAGCGAAGCTCTCCGCTCTCCGCGACTCCTCGTAGAACTCAGCCCCAGTCGCGAACTCACGCAGGCTCAGCACGCCCATCGCCATGCCCGCCGTGACCCCCCTCGCTCCCCCCTGGTACCCTCCCGGTCCCCCTCCCGGTCACCCTCCCGATCCCCTTCGCTCTCTCGGTCGCTTTTGGCCCCGCGTGTCCCGGGGGTGCTGACCTCCCCCCACGCTCGACGGGGCCGAGTTCCTGCAATCCTGGATCCCCACCCTTGGCCGCGGGGATTTAAATATCGGTGGCGGGAGGAGGGGGATGGAGGACCGGGGCGGGATCCGGTCCGGGGAGATGCGGATCGATTAACGTGCAGCTCGAGTCGACGACGCAATCCGATTTAAACGCACGACAAAGACAAAGGCACCTCCCCCCGCCCGTATAGCCTCTGACAGGCTGTTTGGGGCAAGTGCTGAGGGTCGATGAAGGCCGGCACGGCACACGAGGGGGGGGGGGGGGGTGGCCAATACCACGCCCGACCGCCTTTGTCTCCCCAATGCTAATGCGTACCGGGTGCTCTGTTAAGGCTGAGTCGACCTACACACAAAGACAAAGATCCCCTGTACAGCCTCAATAGACTGTTGTCGGTGCAGCGCACGAGGGGGCAGGTAGCCAGCACCACGCCTGGCCGCCTTTGTCTCCATGAGTGGCGATGTTTACACACCGCACCAGGTAACCTAATTTGAGGCTGAGTCGACCTACGGGGAGGCTAATAATTAATCGTCACCGGTGGTGATGGCCGTGAGCGGCAGTCGAACACCAAACACTTGCACGCCTCGCTCTGGGATTCAGCTGCGGTTGCCATAGCGGGAACTGAAGTCACGAGTTCGCATCCATGGCTGACGTGGATGCCGTTTGGTGTCGCGAATTGGTGTGAGAGTGTGTGAGAGTGTGTGTGAGAGTGTGGGGAGCGGTCGTGTAGCGCGCTGCGCTACAAACCCGGCGGCCCCAGTTCGATTCCCGCTCACGGCCAACACCAGTGACGATTAATTATCTGAACCGGTCCTGGACATCGCCTAGGTCGACTCAGCCTCAAGTGAGTTCCTGGTGCGACGTGCAAACTCGGGAGATAAAGGCGGCCGGGCTTGGTTGCTGGCCAACCAACCCACCAAGTGTGCTCTTCCGGGCTTCATAGGTGCTCGCTAACAGCAATTCGCACCCAACAGTCTGTTCAAGGCTACTCGGGGGGGTGGGAATCTTCGTCATAGTCGTAGGCGAGTGGTGACCCAGACTCAGCTGTCTCGGCACGAGGGGGCGCTACGCGATCGCGTGTAAGGTTTGGGGCCGCGGGCCAGCGAGAAATGTTGAGGGATGGCGAGGGAGAAACGGAGCGATGCGATGGGCTCCTGAGATGGGATGTCACGGGAAGCCTAAGAGATTGTGTGGGCCTGGGAAGGCCTTCATCCAGCAGCGGATAGACCCTGCCTTGTATAGTCGTCTATATAAAACCAGCCGCTGACGCCACATTCTATCCTAACCTCACGAGGGAGGGAGGGTGGGGTGGGGGCGCGTGTGAGCGGGTGTTCTAATTAATTTCCATAATGAGCTGGTTAATCGCGCGTAGTCCCCCCGCCCGTGATTGGCGATGTCGCATCAGCAGCGTCGCGTCTCTGCGCTCGTCCCGACGGCCCCCGGCTGGCGCTCTGGCGACGAGAGAGCGGGGGAAGGGGGGGGGGCAGCGGGGGGGGGGGGCAACTCTCTGATTCTGTCTGTACTCGATGTCAAGACTCGCGTTGACCTTGACTTCCCTTCAATAACGAAGCCATTACCAGCGTGGCGTTAGTTTGAATGCAGGTGACATCGCGATTTGACACGCAACACGTGTCACGTTTTGGTGTGGGCACACGCGCCGTCATTGCGGAGGCCCTGTGACGTAAACATCTGTGCACGTGACTCGGTTGCATTTTTGCGTATGATGGCAATGTTTTCGGGAGTTTAAATGCCAATTTCGAGGTCTGTTGGCCACGAGAGGGCTTCAGGAGAGGGTTCGTGTAGTTGTGCTGTTCTTTCTGCATGGAAGGAACACAGACTACAGTGGTTGACGATACCGTCCATAGTTTGGTTCGCATGGCGACACCCGCAATGTGGCTTGCCTTTAGTGTATCTCGACGTGTCTCCGTGTTTAACACGCGGTCCATAGTTCGGGTGGGCATGGCCACAATCGCACTCCTGTGGCTCGTGTCTTTAATGTGCCATTTATGCAAGGTGATGTGCGCAGTAGCCTGGTGATGTTCTGATGCCGTTGATGGTTCTACCCGTGGTTTGGAGGAATGTAAGACGGCACGTGGCATATGATGCCGCGTGGTCCGCCATGCAGCACATGCTGGTTTTATTGTTATTATTATGTGGCCACTGGGAAAAATATAGTTTAAGACCGTTTCATGTGTGGTGTGCGCTGGTGTGATGGTATCTCCTGCGCGTGCTGTTGGGTGAGTGAGGCTTGGGCTATGCTGTGCATGGCGATATTGATACCACAGACACAGGGATGACAGGAATCACGAGTAAGATAAACGAGCTCCTTTAATTAATGCTGCTGTTAATGCTGCTATAATGGCTCAAACACGTGGGGCGCTGTTGTGCGAAAATTCTGCTCCAAAATGTTTTCTTCCTAACCTAACCTATCCCTAATCTCACCCAGAACCCTACTCCCTGAGCCTTACCTTAACCCCTACCCTAACTCAGCCATAACCCTACCCTCGGTGCCTATCCCTAACCTTTAATCCTTACCCTATCGCTAACCCCAGCCCTAACCCTTACCCCTTAAGCCTATCCCTAACCTCTACCCTAACCCCAGCCATTTCCTTACCCAATAAGCCTATCCCTAACTCGTAACCGTAATCCTACCCCGTCAGCGTGTTCCACCCATGGCTATGTTGCGTTCATTACTCCCCCCTCAGTCTGGGGGCTCAGACCCCAATTGGATTGGGGGCAGCACTTTTCCACCGCAGCGCGTCACGTAAGACCCCCCCCCCCCCACGTCCGTTCAAGACTAGAAGGAGATCCACACGTCGTTGATGAACATTCCTTGTCCCGTCAGCCCGAGGTGGACATGAGCTCAGATCATCATTTTGATGAGCGAACTGTCGTTCGCGTTGTCGGAACCGACGGCTGGCACGACGCGTTGTGTCCGGACGGGGAGACTGACCTCTGACGGGGGTCCAGTCGATGGGTCGACACGATGGGAACGTGACCCACGATCTCGGAACGCAGCTCCCACGAAATAAAAGATCGGACCGCACGTCCCGTTCACACATCTGTCCCTCCGCGTAAAACAGAAGCCTCGTTTTACACATCCCATTCAGCCACACTGCCTTCTGGGAGTGCACGATAGCAACAGCATCCATTCTGGGCTCACGACAAACACAACTCTGGAAGGGTTTCAACAATCATCATCTCATCAGCAGAGTCGGGCTTCATTGCCTTTCAGATTGCGATTCGTCGCTTAATTATTTTGTCACTCGTGTTTTAGAAAACTCTGATCTTTATCTTATATTTACAGAGCGCCTATGTTAATTTCGTGGTATGTGCCATAAGGGTCATTACCCGAAACGTCGTCCACATTTTTACCCCTTTTAAGGCCACACAGGGTTATTGACAAAAGGGCCCTATCTAACAGAGAGGGCCCTCTTGCCTATAAACATCTGGGCAAGCCGGACCGCCGATGAGACGATACATGTCAAAACCAGTCCAGAGATCTGAAATTAGGCGCTCCCATTTGAGCAGTCCGTGCGGCTGATGGGATGCGTAAGCACAGCTTTTTATATGCCTTTACGTGGGGGGGGGGGGGGGCGGTGGGCGGATATGTGGCAGAGCTGTAACGCCTGCTTGTGTTTTCTTGTTACGTGATTCCATGGCCGCCTCGAGCTATTTGGAGCCCTAGGCGATTGCATATTCTGCTAAATGCCGGGCACTGCCACGCGGTTGCCACCATCGGGAGTGCGAAAAATGTGGCGGTGACATTGGAGCTGCGCGGCGAGTCAGCGTGGCCGCTGGGCGATGGCCCTCTCCGTGTCAGCCCGGGCACCGCACCGAGCGCGCTCACCGCAACGGGGCAGGCACCAGCGCCTCCTCGTAGACTGTGCAAGGGGTACGCGCGTGTGCGCGTGCGTGATGGGACCTGCGTAGTACCTGTTGTGGTATGTTACCGGTAGCCACGTCGGTGCCTTTGGTGGTATGATACAGATATCACGCAGGCACCGGTAGTAATATAACACCTGCGGTAAACCGGTTACATCGACGCGGAGTCGTTTTGGGGGTTTATCACACGTGGTTACACACGGGGTATGTGGGGTATGGGCTATAGTACACGGGGAGGAGGGGAGGGGGGTTCGTTTGGGGGGGGGGGGGTGGGGGATCCGGAGCCCTTCTCCCCACGTTTCCTGTGTTAATCTCTGCTCGCGTTCCCACTGGGAGCGGGGGTGGAATTGATGCGACCGGTCACGGGAACCAGGGTGGGCGCCCCTCCCGGGAGGCCCTCCCCACATCGTTCGTCTCGGTTACGGGGGACGCTGGGCTGTACGGCTTGAAGGATGGCAGGGCTGGCTTAGATATCTCTCCCCACTGATGTGAGCCGTGTCCAGGAATCGAACTCAGCTCCACCGGGTGCATAGTTCGCAACGTCGATGATCCGTTACACGCCAATCCTGTCGCGCCCAAGTACACCCTGACGATGGGGATGGGTCACCGTGACCAGTGAGACGGGCCTGCGGTAGCGCGTTCACCTCTCGTGGAGTTTTGCTGTTGGAATTCGACAGGCGGCCCTGGTAAATACCGTGGCGTTGCAGCATTGCCACCGCGGGGGTGACCACGCCGTCCGCTTCACTCGCGCGGCATCCGGCGACGCTATTTGAAAGAGGCGCCGGCCATTGTGTGCCCGGGTCGTCGTGGTCCAAATGGTTTTTCCCAAAATGACAACAAAAACAACAAGAACAAAACGTGTACTCGCAGAGACTCGGTGGGTTGAAACGCGCGGCTGTCGGGGCAAACCGGCGCCACCGCCTGCCAGTAGCCAGGAGGACCCTCGCCATCGCGAGGCCTCCCGGGGACCCGCGGACGTCGTGTGCACGGAACGCACCACGTACCAACAACGCCCTCCCTCCCCTGCTCAACGTGGGGCATCAGAGGCGGGTCCTGAAATTTCCCGGGGTGGGGGGGTGCTGGGGGGTTGGGGGGCGATCCCGAAACGTCAAGATCTTATAAGAACTCTCACCCCTCCTCCCCCGCCCCTCCTCCACTAATACAAAACAATATATTGAGTGCATGTTCCCTGCTACATATCAATGCCCGACGAGATCACGGAGTCTGCAGGGGCGGTGAGGGTGGGACGGTGCCCCCCATTGCCCGTCCACCTGGAGCCGCCCCTGACGTGCACATTGAGTAGCGAACGGGAGCTCACACTGGAGGACACCGGCTATGTGCTGCTGTGTGCTGTGTGTTGTGTTGTTGCTGTGCTGTCGTGTGCTGCTGTTGTGTTGTTGCTCTGCATTGTTGCTGTGTTTTTGTTGTCCTGATGTGTGCTGTTCTGTGTGCTGCTATGCTCCTATGTGCTGCTGTGTGCTGCTGCTGTTGCACTGCTGCTGTGCTGCTGCTGTGTGCTGCTGCTGTGCTGCTGCTGTTGCACTGCTGCTGTGCTGCTGCTGTGCTGCTGCTGTTGCACTGCTGCTGTGCTGCTGTTGTGTGCTGCTGCTGTTGCACTGCTGCTGTGCTGCTGCTGTGTGCTGCTGCTGTGCTGCTGCTGTGCTGCTGCTGTTGCACTGCTGCTGTGCTGCTGCTGTGCTGCTGCTGCTGTGCTGCTGCTGTTGCACTGCTGCTGTGCTGCTGCTGTGCTGCTGCTGTGTGCTGCTGTGTGCTGCTGCTGTGTGCTGCTGTGTGCTGCTGCTGTGCTGCTGCTGTGTGCTGCTGTTGTGTGCTGCTGTGTGCTGCTGTGTGCTGCTGCTGTGCTGCTGTGTGCTGCTGTGTGCTGCTGTGTGCTGCTGCTGTGCTGCTGCTGCTGTGCTGCTGCTGTGCTGCTGCTGTGTGCTGCTGTTGTGTGCTGCTGTGTGCTGCTGTGTGCTGCTGCTGTGCTGCTGCTGTGCTGCTGCTGTGCTGCTGCTGTTGCACTGCTGCTGTGCTGCTGCTGTGTGCTGCTGCTGTTGCACTGCTGCATTGTTGCTGTGTCGCGCGTGACGGAGACGGCGCCTGCAGCCCAAACACAGAACACGTGGGGGCGGGGGGGGGGGGTCTGTACGCAGGGGGGCTACAGCCCCCTCACTCCGCTTCATGGCTGTGCTTCTATAGGAGAGTCCGTGGGGGGGGGGGGAGGGGTCGCGGGAGAATTACAAAAACGCACAGGCCCCGCGCTTTGGCATCGACGCGAAACGTCAGCGCGGCTGGAAGCATCGATAATACGCGTGTGGGCCCTGCCACACACGGCCATTGCATAATGCTGCGTCGAGACGGATGGTGGGGGGGGGGAGGGAGTTATGGATAATGGGGAGGGGGGGGCAGGGGGGGCACAGGGAGCCTTGGGGGGCCCTTATTTTCATCCCTAGTCACTTGGCACCACGGGGTTACACGTGGGTAGACGTAGCCAGGCTTTGTCCCATCTGGACCCCCCCCCACGCCCCAGCTGGAGACACGTCGCCTGCTCGTGCCGCAGAATCCTCCTTTACATTGCAGATCCTTCTCTGCTCCCGTCTGTCCATCGGATTCCCCCGCTTTCTCCCACGTTCCTCGTTCCCTCTTCGTAAGCACGGAGGAGGAGCAGCAGCAGCAGCAGCGTCGGCGTCGCGAGCCGGTGAAGTCTGTCCGGCGTCAGCCGCGCGCCCGACTCCGCGGTGGGGATGTGGAAGAGCCGCTTCGGAACGTCTTCAAACCGACAGCAGCAGCCAGCGTTTACTGAAACACTCACCCCACTCACCACCCTAGAGGTCGCCCCGGGACTACCCTCCCCACTGCTCCACTCTGGAATTCCCTCCTCCCGTCGTCGTCGTCGTCGTCATCATCATAGCGATCGTCTCTTTCCCCTAATCTCTGCTAATAAATAACCTGGCGCAACTCAAGATGCTTGTGCTCAGTAAACTCTTGTGTAAAGGGAAGTGGGACCCTTCCAAGTGCCGGCAGTGTAGACCCCGACCACCCCCCCCCCCCGCCGGCTCACCCCCAGTGGCAGGGCTGGACACTAATTTAATCAGGAGGCTGAGAAGCCAATTAATGGCACAGATGCCTTCGCGGCCCCGAGTTAATTAGCGGCATGCGGAGCCAGAAGTGCGGGGAGGGGGGGGTCGTGATTGACGGGTGGATGGTGCTGCCACCCGCAGAGAGAGAGAGAGAGAGGCTGTGCAGAGGGGCTCCAGCTTTGGGGGCTCCCAAAATCCACCCCCTCGGTGTGAAGGGGTGGCCGAGGGAACCAACACTGCAGCTGCAGCTGCTGCGGTGTTGGTGTCGCTGCTGTTGCTGCAGCTGCTGTTGCTGCAGTGTTGGTGTCGCTGCTGTTGCTGCAGCTGCTGTTGCTGCAGTGTTGGTGTCGCTGCTGTTGCTGCTGCTGCAGTGTTGGTGTCGCTGCTGTTGCTGCAGCTGCTGCTGCTCCTCTTGCTGCTGCTTCTCTTGACCCCCCCGCCCGCCCCACCACGGTGCTGACCCCGTGACCCCCGCCGTGGTGGATGACGATGTCGCCCCAATTAATTAAATATTAAAATCCGGTCACGTGTTCATCACGTGAAGGACGGAGCTGGGAGAGGTGGTGGGGGGGGGGGGGGAGAGGTGGGGGCACCGCTTCCCCCCTCCTCGTGGCCTTCACTTTCAGTCCCAACGTTGAAAGATTATTCCCGGACTTGGCCCCGTCATGGGAACGTCCTCCCATCGAGGTGCTGGGGGGGGGGGCGGTGTATTGCTATGGCTGCTCCCCGGAGAAGGGGGAGTTGGGGTGGGGGCTGGGGTGATGTTGAGGGAGAGTGCCCCCCCCCCTCCACTGGGTCAGTAGGGCGTGAAGCGGCTGTAGGCTCCACGGTATAGGCTCGCCTGCGACGCGGCCACACAGGGGGGGGGGGGGAGAGGGGAGAAGGGGGGGCGCACAGGAGGGGGGGGGGGAGTCCGAGGTCAGGGGACACGGCTGTGGGACAGATTGGAGCGCAGGCTCCAGGCACCGTGCAGCTATTAGGAGGAGCCGTCACCGTTGCGAATCAGCGTGACTGCCGGACCTGGTGCGTGCGCGGTGCGCGTTTGTGGTTTGTGGTGCGTCCAGGAACAACGGAGGGCAGAGAAGCGACCGACGCTCGCAAACAACGAGCGGAGCGCCGGGCAGCTAAAGCACATAGAGTTGGCACAGTAGGGGAGCACAGTTGGTGCACCTGCCAGCCATCTCAGTCAGTCAACCCATGGCACCTGGGTCTGTCCCGTGACATCCTGCCAGCGGGCCCTCAACACTTCCACGTGGCCTCGAAGTGCACCCAGGATGACACAAGCGCCGTGGTGCCAACGCCATCACTGAGCGGCGAATGGCAGCTGTGTTTCTTTATTGCTGCTGTGCGTGGGGGTGTCACTGAGGTCGCTGAGGTGTGGTCGTGGGGTCACTCACCATCGCGCTGACCCCGTAGGTGGCGGCGGGACCCAGCGCCGGGTGGAACGCCTCTGCCGGCGCGAACACGCGGCCGTAGCTGCCGCGACACGCAACACAGACAAAGATCCCCCGTGTAGCTTTAACAGGCTCAAGGGGCAAGTGCTGTTCGCGAAGCACCTATGAAGACCGGCACAGCACGCGAAGGGGTGGGTGAGGAGCACCACGCCCGGCCGCCTTTGTCTCCCAAGTGCTGATGTTTAGACACCACACCAGGTACTCATTTAAGGTGAACAATTGCTGTATGTGTTATTCGTCCCGAGCGGGAATTGGGAGCAGCATCTTTGACACAGAGCACAACACACACCATGCACAGTACACATACACACCGCACAAGCACCACACACAGCACACATACACATCACACACAGAACACATACACACCACACACAGAACACATACACACCACACACAGCACACATACACACCACACACAGCACACATACACACCACACAGCACACATACACACCACACAGAACACATACACACCACACACAGCACACATACACACCACACAGCACACATACACACCACACAGAACACATACACACCACACACAGCACACATACACACAGCACACATACACACCACACACAGAACACATACACACCACACACGCACGCGCCATACACAGCACACACACACCACATGCACCACACACGCCATGCACAGCATAAATGTATTATTAGATCACAAACGAGTATTAAATGCAATGTTATTTATTCATTGCAATCAATCATTGCAAGCGTAATACATTATGAATTATTCCAGTGATTATATTGCTATCGTTACGTGGGGTCACGGCGCGTGCGAACGCGACTGCATCTGAACCGTGCTCCGTGCGTGGATCCTCACCTGTCGCTGTAGGCGGTCGTGGCGGGGGCTGCGTAGCGGTACGTGGCATAGCCGCCCTGGATGGGGGGGGGGGGGGCACACGGGTGGGGGGGGGGGGGCAGGGTCAGCATGGATAGAGGGCAGGGGGCAGTGGAGCCGGAGAGAACGGTGCGATGTCACGGGGACTCACGTAGAGGTCGGTCGCGTAGAACCCATCCTGGTAGACCACTCTGCACCCACAGACAGACACACAGACACACATACATTTACACACACACACAGACGTTTACACACACACAGGCATTTACACACACAGACGTTTACACACACACACACACAGGCATTTACACACACACACAGACATTTACACACACCCACAGACAGACATTTACACAGACATTTACACACACAGACACATACATTTACACACACACAGACATTTTACACAGACACACAGACATTTACACAGACACACAGTCAGACATTTACACACACAGACAGACATTTACACAGACGTTTACACACACAGACACATACATTTACACACACACAGACATTTTACACAGACACACAGACATTTACACAGACACACACATACACATTCATTTACACACACAGACATTTACACAGACACACAGACATTTACACAGACACACGCACACAGACATTTACACACACACAGACATTTACACAAACACACACAGACATTTACACACACACACATTTATACACACAGACATTTATCCACACACAGACATTTACACAGACACACGGACAGACATTTACACACACAGACATTTACACACACAAACACACACAGACATTTACACACACAGACATTTACACACAGACACACACACAAAGACATTTACACACAGAAAAACCCACAAATATACACACAGACACACACACAAAGACATTACACACAGACAAAAGATCCTCCTGTAGCCTTAACAGACTGTAGGGGCCAAGTGCTGTTAGCGAGCACCTATAAAGGCCGGCACAGCACACGAAGGGGTGGGTGGCCAACACCACGCCCGGCCGCCTTTATCCCCCTGGTGACGAATGTACCAAGTACTGATTTACGGCTGAGTCGACCTAGGAGAGGCCCAGCACCGGTTCAGATAGTCGTCACTGGTGTTGGCCGCGAGCGGGATTCGGACACGGAGACTCGACAGGAAGCTGCGACCCCGTTAAAGGGGTTAATAGGTCGTGACCCCACAACCCTCTGTGAGATGAACAGGCCTTGACCCCATGACCCATGATGGAGACGGAGAAGACCCCGGCTCACCCCCCGTATGCGGGCATGGAGGGGGGCGGCACGCGAAGGGCGCTGAACACGGCCCGGGCCCTGCCCCTCGCGTGGTTTCCCCGGAACGCGGCGGCGGCGGCGGCCGCGGCGGCCGCGGCCGTGGCCGGGACGGCGGCCGGGACGGCGGCGGCCCCGGGGAAGGGGATCCCCGCCACTGTGTGGGGGTGCGGGGCAGAGCACACGACAAACAAAGGACCTCCCGTGTAGACCACGCAAGCTGTCGGGACGAGTGCTGTCAGCGAGCAGCGGCGCCTACGATGGCCGGAACAACGCCCGTAACCCGGCCGCCTTTGTCTCCCCGGCGCTGATGTCGACGTGATGCGCTGCGACAAATATTCAGCGTCGGTGGCCGGTCCGGTCGAAGCGGTGCCCAGCGGCCCGCGGCGTGAGTGCGAGTTCACTCACCGGCGTAGATCTCTGGCGCGTACACCGCGCTCACAACTGGGTTCCCTTTCCATCCTGGGCGGGTGTAGGGGGGCACAGGGGCAGGGCGGGGGGCACGGGGTCGGTGGCAGTGACCACGCGAGTGGTGATCAGCACTGGTGGACATGGAAACGTGGGATTGGCGCTGTGGAGACTCTACGTTCTGAAGCGGCAGTCCACGTTCACTGACACTCTCACTCACACACTTACACACACACTTACACTCTCACTCACACACTTGCACACACACTTACACTCTCACTCACACACTTGCACACACACTTACACTCTCACTCACACACTTACACTCTCACTCACACACTTACACTCTCACTCACACACTTACACTCTCACACTTACACTCTCACTCTCACACTTACACTCTCACTCACACACTTACACTCTCACTCACACACTTACACTCTCACTCACACACTTACACTCTCACTCACACACTTAGACTCTCACTCACACACTTACACTCTCACTCACACACTTACACTCTCACTCACACACTTACACTCTCACTCACACACTTACACTCTCACACTTACACTCTCACTTTACACTTACACTCTCACTCTCACACTTACACTCTCACTCACACACTTACACTCTCACTCACACACTTACACTCTCACTCTCACACTTACACTCTCACTCACACACTTACACTCTCACTCACACACTTACACTCTCACTCACACACTTACACTCTCACTCACACACTTACAATCTCACTCACACACTCACATACTCACACACTCACATACACACACACTCATTCACATACTCACACACTCACATACACTCACATACACAATCACATACTCACACACTCATATACACACACACTCACATACTCACACACTCACATACTCACGCACTTACACACACTCACACACACACTCACTCACATACTCACGCACTTACACACTCCCACCTGCAAGAGACACCCGAATTTTTCGATTTAAAGCTTTCGTGACTGCAAGGATTCATCTTCTTTGGTTCTTTCGGTAAAAGTCACGTAGAATGAGAATAAAATAATAAATTAATAAAATATTATTTTATTCTCATTCTACGTGACTTTACCGAAAGAACCAAAGAAGAAGACACCCGAATCTCGGATGAAAGAAACCGGTTCTGACAGCGCCGGTTGCACGCGGAGTGCCCTGAAAAGTGCCGGTGTCCCGGGACATCCCGGATCATTGCTACCATCAGCGATCGGTGATGGGTGATGGTGGGTGGTTGGGGTGATGTGGAATGTTGGTAATAGGAGGTTATCATGGGGGTGATGGTGGGAGTGATGGGAATGATGAGATCGGGGGGTGATGGTGGTATTGATATGGGTGATGGTGGCGGTGGTGACAGGCATGGTGATGTGGGGATGATGGTGAAAGGAATGGTTAGAGATGTGGGGTGATGGCGAATGATGTGGATTAATCGCAGACGTGATCATACTCTCACTCACTCATTCACATATATACTCACTCATTCATTATTCACTCACTCGCGTATTCATTATTGAGAGTGCAGCACAGATGGCGCCGCAGCATCTCCCCGTGCAGCCAGCAAGGAGGAAGTGGGGGGGGGTGACTGTGTTGTGTCTGTGTGTTCCTGTGTGTGTGTGTTTCTGTGTTTGTGTGTTCTTGTGTCTGTGTGTGTATTCCTGTGTGTGTGTTCCTGTGTGTGTTCCTGTGTGTGTGTTCTTGTGTCTGTGTGTCTTCCTGTATCTGTGTGTTCCTGCGGAGCGCCGGGTGGCTAAAGCTCAGCAAGTTGGCACAGTAGGGGGCACAGGTGGTGCATCAGCCAGTCATCTCAGTCAGTCGACCCGTGGCACCTGCTGGGTCTGCCCCGTGACCTCCTGCCAGCGGGCGTTCGACACTTCACGTGGCCTCAAGGTGCACATAGCCTGGCACAAGCGCCGTGGTGACGTCACCGCCACTTAGTGGCAAATGGCGGTTGTTGTTGTTGTGTTTGTCTGTGTCCGTGTTGTGTGTCTGTTAAGGGAGCAGCAGTGTAGCGGTTAGCACTGTGCTGCACTTTGAACCCGGCGTCCCGATTTCAATTCCCGCTCACGGCCAACAATAGTCACGATTTTCTGAACCGGTCGTGGGCCTCCCCTAGGTCCACTCGGCCTAAAATTAATACCTGGTGCGGTGTGTAAGCATCGCCACTGGGGAGACAAAGGCGGCCGGGCGTGGTGCTGGCCACCCACACCATCTTGTACCGTTCTGGCCTTCATAGGTGCTCGCTTACAGCACTTGCCCCAACAGTCTGTTCAGGCTATACGGGGGATCTTTGTGTTGTGTGTCCGTGTGTGTCAATTCCCGATAACGACCAATAACAGTAGCGAATGACTGAACGGGTTCTGGCCTCCTCTAGATCGACTCAGCCTTGAGTACCTGGTGCAGTAAGTATAAACGCAGGAGAGACAAAGGCGGCCGGGTGTGGTTACGACAACTCCACACCCGAATGGGGGAGAGGAGGGGGGGGGAGGTCTTTCTATGTGAACACACAAACGCAACTACAACATCCGAGGCTGCTTGGTGCACTTCGAAGTGTGGAAGCCTCTCTGGCAGGGCGAGGGACAGACACACGTGCTATATGGGTTGACTTCGATCACTAATAAAGACACACAAAGACAAAGATCCCCCTGTAGCCTGAACGGACTGTCGGGGCAAGTGCTGTTAGTGAGCAACTACAAAGGCCGGCACGGCGCACAAAAAGAGGCGCTGTGGTTAGCACCACGCCGGACACGCCTTTGTCTCCCCAATGCTGATTTTTCCCACAACTGCACCGAACGCTCATTTAAGGCCGAGTCGACCTAGGGGGAGGCCCGGAACCCGTTCAGACATTCGCCGCCGGCGTTCGTCGTGAGCGGGAGTCGAACTCGGGATGCTGCCCGCTCGCCGGGTGAGATAAGGTCGCGGCCATCACCGTTGCTTAACGACGCCGCGGCCTTCTTGTTCGTCATCACCCGCGCTGTGGCGTTGTTCACCTGCGGAGCGGGTGATGCGGAGCGGGTGGAGGATAGGAGGGAAGGGAGGGGGGGTGAACAGGTGAACAGTGAACAGGTGAGACGAGTCGTTGGGGGGGGGGGGGTTTGGGTGGGTGGGTGGTCGTGCGTGCGTGTGGCATTGCCTCCATGCCCCCAACCCCCGACCGCCGTGGCTCAAGCTCCCGAGGAGGGGGGGATCCCAACATCAACCGCAAGAGGGAAGAGCAAATTCGTGCACGGGCCGCGTGCGTGCGCGTGCGTGCGCGTGCACATGCGCGCAAGGGGGTGGGGGCGGGCGGGCGGGGGCGGGGGGGCGGTGTGGAGGCCCCGGCATGCGGCACCGCGGGGTTAGGGGGGCGCTGCTGCGCTCACAGTCACCGCTGCTGCTCCTTCTCATCATCATCATCATCATCCTCCACCTCCTCCCAGAACTTCGCCTTCCACGCTTCACGCGATAGCCTCGAAGTGCACCCAGCCCGGCCACAGTTCGAGTCCAGAAACTCCCTTGAAGAGGAGACCGGGGGCGCCTGACTGACCGAGCGAGCAGCATTCTCTTGAACTTCGCCGTCGGTCCGGTCACGCCACGACTGTCAACGTCGCTCGCCAACGTCGCACGAGGTCACGCGATCGTACGTCGGGACCAATTCGGGTTCTTCTAAACGCTGTACGTTGCTTCATTGCCGGGAACCGCACGAAAAACCGGTTTTATGCACGTGCATAAATGCCTCGAGCAATAAACGTGCCCTGTTGACCCCTTTTTACACGATACACGAATGCGGCCGCTACAGCGGCGTGCCGGTCATTAGCGCGCTGGAGCGACTCGATCTGCCGGCACGGCAGTGGAGCAATCTTCTGAACCGTTCCCCCTCCCCCCCACGCGACTCACCGCAGCCCGTCGGTGGGAGGGAGGGAGGGGGAAAGATTGGGTAAGCCCACCTCCTCCCCCAACACGCGAGGCCAGTGTAGAAGAGTAGGCCAAGGACTCCTCTCTCTCTCTCTCCCGAGCTCCCACTGGTGGAGGGACCACCTTTGGGCAAGCTGCGTGCGCCGTGACTCGTTGCATTTGTTTGTCTGCGTCGGGTGGCGGAGGGTCTTGACGACACGCATTTATTCGGACCATGACGTGGCTTAAGCCAAACATGAATCGATTATACGCAATGCTCATCATCATCATCATGAACTATGGAGGGAAGTTAACCCGGAGGTTTGGAGATGGGAGTGGGGTCCGGGTTAGGGGGCAAGCAGTTTGGCTGCAACAGCAGCGGCGTTTCCCGTGCATAGCGACCGGTCGGGGTTAAATGATTATTCTCATCGTCACCACCACCACCAGCACCACCAACATCAACATCCTCGAGACAGTGAGCCGTGTAACAACACCACCACCACCAACAACCTCTTTGTGAACACAAACAAGCCAGGCATCAACATGCAAATCACGTTACACAAACACGTGATGGCACGGGCTGGGGGGGGGGGGGTCCCTACTCCCTAGGGGGCCCGAGAGGGGGCCCCGGGGGCCCGGGAGACGGACAGGCGCCCTCGGGGATAGACGGGGGTCGGGACCAGAGATGACGCGTCCTGCAGCAGCAGCAGCAGCAGCTTCAGCACCACCTGTCAGAACCAATCACAGCCCGGCACGCCTGGCATCGCACATTCAACACACAGCACGGCTACTCACACAGCACGGCTACTAACACAGCACGGCTACTCACACAGCACGCCTGGCCTCGCACACTCAACACACAGCACGGCTACTCGCACAGCACGGCTACTCGCATAGCACGGCTACTAACACAGCACGGCTACTAACACAGCACGGCTACTCGCATAGCACATTCAACACACAGCACGGCTACTCACACAGCACGGCTACTAACACAGCACGGCTACTCACACAGCACGCCTGGCCTCGCACACTCAACACACAGCACGGCTACTCACACAGCACGGCTACTAACACAGCACGGCTACTCACACAGCACGCCTGGCCTCGCACACTCAACACACAGCACGGCTACTCGCACAGCACGGCTACTCGCATAGCACGGCTACTAACACAGCACGGCTACTAACACAGCACGGCTACTCGCATAGCACATTCAACACACAGCACGGCTACTCACACAGCACGGCTACTAACACAGCACGGCTACTCACACAGCACGGCTACTCACACAGCACGTCTGGCATAGCACACTCAACACACAGCACGGCTACCAATAACAGCACAAGCTAACACAGACCGCCTGGCATAGCACAATCAAACACAATACGGCTTAGAGCGCAGCGACCACAGCATGGCTAACACAGCACACCCCCAGAGCACACTCCACACATCACGGCTAACACAGCAAGGGCAAAGCACGCACAACAGCTTGGCCACAGCGTCACCCGCACACCCCACTCAGCTGACCTGCCTCCCCCTGCGCGAGTGTCAAGGTGGGGCGCGGGGGTGGGGGGGGCTGCAGGTGGCATCACGTGACGCTCACTGCACCTGGAAATTAACCCTCCCTCCGACCCCCCCCCCCTCCGGCCCCCCGCAACCCGCCCCCCCCCCTCCCCAGGGCAGCAGGTGGAGGCTCAAGCCGCACGATGAATATTGCAGAGGCCGCGTGTTGCCATTAGCTATGCATGAGCAGGTACAGCACTCACTCACCACGCTCACTCACCACACTCACTACAACCACTCACTCACCACACTCACTACACTCACTACAACCACTCACTCACCACACTCACTCACCACACTCACTCACCACACTCACTACACTCACTACAACCACTCACTCACTACAACCACTCACTCACTACAACCACTCACTCACCACACTCACCACACTCACCACACTCACTACAACCACTCACCACACTCACTACAATTACTCACTCACTACACTCACTCACCACACTCACTACAACCACTCACTCACCACACTTACCACACTCACTCACCACACTCACTACAATCACTCACTCATCACACCTACCACACTTTCTCACCACACTCACTCACCACACCCACCACACTCACTCACCACACTCACTCACGATACTCACTACAATCACTCACTCACCACACTCACTCACCACACTCACTCACCACACTCACTACAACCACTCACTCACCACACTCACTACAACCACTCACTCACTACACTCACCACACTCACTACAATCACTCACTCACCACACTCACTCACCACGCTCACTCACCACACTCACTACACTCACTACAACCACTCACTCACTACAACCACTCACTCACTACAACCACTCACTCACCACACTCACCACACTCACCACACTCACTACAACCACTCACCACACTCACTACAATTACTCACTCACTACACTCACTCACCACACTCACTACAACCACTCACTCACCACACTTACCACACTCACTCACCACACTCACTACAATCACTCACTCATCACACCTACCACACTTTCTCACCACACTCACTCACCACACCCACCACACTCACTCACCACACTCACTCACGATACTCACTACAATCACTCACTCACCACACTCACTCACCACACTCACTCACCACACTCACTACAACCACTCACTCACCACACTCACTACAACCACTCACTCACTACACTCACCACACTCACTACAATCACTCACTCACCATACTCACTACAACCACTCACCACACTCACTACAACCACTCACTCACCACACTCACTCACCACACTCACTACAATCACTCACTCACCACACTCACCACACTCACTCATTCACCACACTCACTCACCACACACTCACTACAATCACTCACTCACCACACTCACTCACCACACACTCACTGCAATCACTCACTCACCACACTCACTCACCACACACTCACTACAACCACTCACTCACCACACTCACTCACCACACACTCACTACAATCACTCACTCACCACACTCACTCACCACACACTCACTACAACCACTCACTCACCACACTCACTCACCATACTCACTACAACCACTCACTCACCACACTCACTCACCACACACTCACTACAATCACTCACTCACCACACTCACTCACCACACACTCACTACAATCACTCACCACACACTCACTAAATCCACTCACCACGCGCACCCTCCCGCCCCGACCCTCTTTGTCTCTCCCTCCGTCAACAGACGCGACACCAAGGGGGGACGGACAGCACCGAGCAGCGAGGGGCTTCGACTCACGGCCCCGGCAAGCGGCAGCGCCGTCCGCGTGCTGCTGATGAGCATCGCGCGGCGTAGGAGGGGGAAGCCGTCGAGAGCGCTGCCGGCGAAGTTCGCGTCAAGCCCACGCTCTGGTCACCATCGCCACCCACCCCCCACAAACCGCCAAGCGGCCGACAACAATCAGCACTCGCGCGGTTGTAACGGATTACTGTCGTGGCGTTACGCGTTTGTCTTGCGGTGGCGGCGGCGGCGGCGGGGAGGGGGGGAATCATCGCGAGGATGAAACCGGCTTGCTTTGTCAACAGCGACAAACGCCCACGGGTGCAGCATCGCACGCACGAGTTGTCGTCAGCCTCAGCACCCACACCGCCGGCTTCAAGGGACGAAACGCTGATGTGTGTGGTCAGCGCGTGCCGCTAGATGGATGAGTGCCGCTGCAATTCCGCAGAGCCTCGCGTGTGCCGTCAAAGCGCCGCGTTTGATTCCAGGCGCGATCGTAACGAGGGGTGTCTCGGCATTTACGGAGAGGAGCCACACACCAACAATTACAGCCAGCCGCCTTAGCTCAACACAGCCACAGCCACAACCATTAGCCACGGTCACACCCAAAACGACAACCATAACCACAGCGCGTGGCTATCTCCCGCACGCTCTGAACTCACACAGGACTACTGCCATCTCGCCACACCTCCTCACACCTCCTCTCAACCTTCATTCAGAGGCCTGGCGCTCAGGCACAGGTGTATCTACATCTCGACCTCCAAGGGATCGCGACTCTCCTGCCTCTCCCCTCTCATCTTAATCTGCTCCCCTCCACGCACTCTCCTACCACTCCGCTCTAATCTCACTCTACTCCCCTCCACGCACTCTCCTACCTCTCCCCTCTCATCTCACTCTACTCCCCTCCACTCACTCTCCTACCTCTCCCCTCTCATCTCACTCTACTCCCCTCCACGCACTCTCCTACCTCTCCCCTCTCATCTCACTCTACTCCCCTCCACGCACTCTCCTACCTCTCCCCTCTCATCTCACTCTACTCCCCTCCACCCACTCTCCTACCTCTCCCCTCTCATCTCACTCTACTCCCCTCCACTCACTCTCCTACCTCTCCCCTCTCATCTCACTCTACTCCCCTCCACGCACTCTCCTACCTCTCCCCTCTCATCTCACTCTACTCCCCTCCACGCACTCTCCTACCTCTCCCCTCTCATCCCACTCTACTCCCCTCCACGCACTCTCCTACCTCTCCCTCTCTCATCTCACTCCACTCCCCTCCACGCACTCTCCTACCTCTCCCCTCTCATCTCACTCTACTCCCCTCCACGCACTCTCCTACCTCTCATCTCACTCTACTCCCCTCCACGCACTCTCCTACCTCTCCCCTCTCATCTCACTCTACTCCCCTCCACCCACTCTCCTACCTCTCCCCTCTCATCTCACTCTACTCCCCTCCACTCACTCTCCTACCTCTCCCCTCTCATCTCACTCTACTCCCCTCCACTCACTCTCCTACCACTCCCCTCTCATCTCACTCTACTCCCCTCCACGCACTCTCCTACCTCTCTCCCCTCTCATCTTCACTCACGCCACATCTGCTTAACAACAAATGTCTCCTGGTGAAGGCCTTAGTCTACACCCTCGCCCCCTAAAACACCTTGGTCATTCGCCAGCACTGGCTCCAGCGAGCCCCACCCTGCTGATGAGACACTAAAGTGGGGGGGGGGGGGCCTGTGGGGGTAGGGGGCTCACCTCGATCTTCCTCCCCTCCACCACGCTGCCGTGCAGCTTCTCCCGCGCCTGCTCCGCGTCCCCGCTGCTGTCAAACGTCACGAAGCCGAATCCCTGGGGTGGTAGGGTCAGCGGCCGAGGGTCAATTACCGGGGTTGGAGGTCAAGGTCGCCACACTTGCCAGGGTCAGGGATTCAGGGTCAGCGCAGTTATTGAGATCAGGATCTCTATAGACACTGGGTCAAGGTAATGACGATGATGATGATGATGCTTGTGATGATGATGATGATGGTGATGATGGTGGTGGCCAAGCCACTGTGGATGTGAGGGGGGATGAAAACCGCTCACCTTCGACCCCCGCTCGTTGAAGATGATCTCTACATCCAGGATTTTCCCAAATTGCTGTGGGGGGGGGAGGGGGGGGACATGGGGTCACAGGGTAGAGGTCAGAGCCGTGAACACATGCCCTTCACCCCACTCACCCCCCTCGCCTTTCCGCCACCCCTGCCCCCTTACCCTCACCCCGCTTCTCACCCCGAACATCTGGCGGAGGTCGGGGTCGCGGAAGCGGAAGGGGATGTTGGAGACGTGGAGCCTCTTGTGCTGCCCCTTGGGGGAGGGGGGGCCGCCACCGTCTGGCGGGGGCAGCGCCGCCTCCTCCTCCGTTTGCTGCTGGGAGTGGGGAGGGGCACAGTAGGGGGGCAGTGGGGGGCACGGGACGGGGTGGGTGGTGAGTTGGGGGGTGTGAGTGGGGAGTGGTGGTGGGGGGGGGGAGGGGCGATGTGCACGCTACTCGCCCGTGTGTGGGTCGCTACGGTTACACCGCACTCACCGTTGCCGTGCCGGGGACGGAGAGTCCATGGTGAGTGGAGGTCACGGCTGCCGTGGAGCAGCCGTGATTGAGGGGGGCTGCCGTGTAGAGGGCGAGGCTGCTCGCAGAGCCCCCCCCCAGCTGCTGCTGTTGAGTGAAGTCGCCCCCCAAGCCGTTCTGGGGGGGCGGTGGAGGGGGCAGGAAGGGAGCGGCCATCGGCTCGGGGCCCGCGCCAGGCGGGTCCAGCCCACCCTGCGTGACACAAGAACACACGCGTGAACAAACGCGTGAACACACTCGTGAACACACGTGTGAACACACGTGTGAACACACGCGTGAACACACGCGTGAACACACACGTGAACACACTCGTGAACACACTCGTGAACACACGCGTGAACACACGCGTGAACACACGCGTGAACGCACGCGTGAACACACGCGTGAACACACGCGTGAACACACGCGTGAACAAGACAAAGATCATCCTTATAGGCTTAACAGACTGTAGGGGCAAGTGCTGTTCGCGAGTAGCGCCTATGAATGTTTGCACGGCACACGAGCGGGTGGCTGGACCGCACGACGACGCCTGTGTCTGCCGTGTGGCGATGTTTACACCCCGCACCAGGTACTGAGTTGAGCATGAGTCGACCTAGGGGAGGCCCAGGACCGGTTCATATAATCATGACTGGTGTTGGTCGTGAACAGGAATCAAACGCAGGTCTCTGGGTTCGTAGCACAGCGCGCTCACCGCTGCACTACCGCTCCCCACGCCGGAAACACACACGTGAACACACGCGTGTACACACACACACGTGAACATACACGTGAACACACGCGTGTACACACACACACACACGTGAACACACACGTGTAAACACACACGCGAACATACACACACGTGAACACACGCGTGTACACACACACACGTGAACATACACACACGTGAAGACACGCGTGTACACACACCCACGTGAACACACACACGTGAACACACGCGTGTGCACACACACGTGAACATACACACACGTGAACATACACGTGAACACACGCGTGTACACACACACACGTGAACACAGTCACGTGAACACACGCGTGTAAACACACACGTGAACATACACACACGTGAACATACACGTGAACACACGCGTGTACACACACACACACGTTAACACAGTCACGTGAACACACGCGTGTAAACACGCGCGTGCACACACACGTGAACACACGCGTGTACACACACACGTGAACATACGCACACGTGAAGACACGCTTGCACACACACACGTGAATACACACGCGTGAGCACACACACACACATGTGAACACACACGCGTGTACACACACGTGAACACACACATGTGAACACACACGCGTGTGTGACATGCCCCAGCGGGCAGTTAGTGAGTGAGGCCCGTCTTGTGTGGAGGTCCGTGGCTCTAACGCGGCAGGCCGCCCTGGTTAACCGCGCGGTGGAATTTCAACGAAACCAGGCGCCGTGTGCTTCACCCACGTGACGTCACCCGAAGAAGTTGTACGCTGCCAATTTACCACCTGTGAAACATTACACGAGTTACTTGCCATGTATTTGGAACAGTGACGATGATGAGAACCCCAACGTGGTTAGAAATCGGTTTGTTTCATTACCGGTAACCAGATCGACAACAAACCGGTAAAAAATGTCGGTTACCGGTTTGGCACGGCGGTGACTTAGCCCGCCGTGCGGTTTGTAAGTCCGCGCGTGCCAGTCGGCGCGTTTGTTGCTCGCGTTCAACCTGGAACCGGTTCTTGAGCCTCGGCAGCTTCAGATTCCCAAACCGGTTACCGATTCACAAGCCGAGCCCATACGACGCTCGGCCAGATTGCAGACAGGTTCCAGATCGCGACTTTCTTCCAATCAATCAGAGCCCTCGTAGCCCGTGCCACAGCAACCCGTGGCAGGTGCACATTGAGGCCAAGGTAGCACAGTGCCACCTCGCTGTGCTTTACCCGCCCATGCACTCCGCTCGTTGTTGTGAGCGTCGCTCCTCCGTCCTCTGTTGTTGCTGGAGGGCGACTGCCTCCAACTGCCCAGGAGCGTCCTTCACGAGCCTCCTCCACAGAGGCCGATCTTGACACCGCTGGTACCGGTCATCGGTAAGTCCACTCAGCTCCACGTCCTCCTGTAGCACGTCACTCCATCTCTTCTCTAGCCCGTGACGTGCCGGTTTTTAGCCCCCTCTGTCCGGCCAAGCATAGGCTGCTTGGGCATGCGGTGGCAGTGCACGCCGGCTACGTGACTCAGCCAACACAGCCTCGCCTACCGGAGGAGCTCGCCGATGAGACGGCGTTCCGGATCTCTCAAGGATCTGAGAGGTCCGGACCAATTCCAGCCTGATTCAACTCGGGATGGATCGTAGGCGGGGCCAGCCTAAATGTTTAAGACCCACGCAGACGTTCGTCTTTCAGAGTGGTCCGCGTTTCGCAAGCGTAGAGAAGGGGGGCATAACTGTGGCCGAGAAGACTCGGGACATCGTAAGGAGACGTTCATAGACAAAGATCCCCAGTATAGCCTGAACAGACTGTTGGGGAACTTGCTGTTAGCGAGCACCTATAATGACCGGAACGGCACACGAGGGGGTGTATGGCCAACACCACGCCTGGCCGCCTTTGTCTTCCTAGTGGCGATGTTCACACCGCACCAGGTACTCATTTGAGGCTAAGTGGACCTAGGGGAGGCCCAGGACCGGTTCAGATCATCGTCACCGGTGTTGGCCGTGAGCGGGAATCGAACCCGGGTGGTCGGGTTCATAGCGCAACGCGCTGACCGCTACACTGCCGCTCCCCGCGGACACGTACACACGGACACACACACACTCGTGTACACACACACACACACGGACACACACACTCGTGTACACACACACACGGACACACACACACGGACACACACACACAGACATGTACACACACAGACGGACACACGGGCACACACGGACACACACATGGACGGACACACGAACGGACACACACACGGACACACTCGGGCACACGGACACACACGGACACACACACACGGACACACACACACGGACACACACACAGACGGACACACACACACGGACACACACACACACGGACACAAACACACACGGACCCACACACGAACACACGGACACACACGCAGACGGACACACACACGGACACACACACGGACACTTAGACGGACACACAGGCGGACACACACGGACACACACAGACACACACACGGACACACTCACACGGACACACACAGACGGACACACACGGACACACACACACACACGGACACACAGACGGACACACACACACGGACACACACACACAGACGGACACATACACGGACACACACACACACACGGACACACACACGGACACACACACGGACGCACACACACGGACACACACACACGGACACACAGACGGACACACACAGACGGACACACACACACACAGACACACAGACGGACACACAGACGGACACACACACACACGGACACACACACACACACAGACGGACACACACGGACACACACACACACGGACACACACACACGGGCACACACACGGACACACACACGCGGGCACACACACACACACACAGACGGACACACACACACACGGACACACACACACACGGACACACACACACGGGCACACACACGGACACACACACGCGGGCACACACACGGACACACACACACGGACACACACACACGGACACACACACACACGGACACACACACACACGGACACACACACACACACGGACACACACACACACACGGACACACACACAGACACACACACGGACACACACATACGGACACACACACGGACACACACACACACACGGACACACACACACGGACACACACACACACGGACACACACACACACGGACACACACACACACACGGACACACACACACACATGGACACACACACAGACACACACACACACGGACACACACACACACGGACACACACACACGGACACACACACGGACACACACACACACATGGACACACACACACGCGGACACACACACGGACACACACACACACATGGACACACACACACACGGACACACACCGACGAACGAACCCCGAAGTCCGCGGTCCTCCGCCTCTCCCACGCGGGCAGGGGATGGAGGGGCGGGGGCTCACCTGGGGGAGCGCGAGCAGCTTGATTGGCAGGGCGGAGAGGCCGAGTGGGGGGCCCAGGACCCCCCGTGCAGACAGCATCATCGCGGGGGGGGGGGGAGACGGGGTTGGGGAGAGGGGGGGGGGGCGACGGCCGCTGAGGTAGTGGACCGAGCCCCCTAGCTCGGGAACCTCGCGAGAGGAGGGTGGGGGGGGGGGGTGTAGGGAGAGGGGGGGGGTGTCGTGGGGGGGGGGTAATTAATTTAATCCACGTGAGGCCCCCCACGGAGGTCGCTCAAGGAGAGCCGCTTCACTCCCCCCCACCCCCACGTCGCCCCCCACCCACCTCGCATCCAGCGAAGCGAGACGAGCCCCCCACAACCGCGAGACTCGCGTAACGGCGGGGGGTAACGGAGGCGGGTAACGGAGGGGGGTAACGGCGGGGGGTAACGGCGGGGGGTAACGGCGGGGGGTAACGGAGGGGGGTAACGGCGGGGGGTAACGGCGGGGGGTAACGGCGGGGGGTAACGGCGGGGGGTAACGGAGGGGGGTAACGGCGGGGGGTAACGGCGGGGGTAACGGCGGGGGTAACGGCGGGGGGTAACGGAGGGGGGTAACGGAGGGGGGTAACGGAGGGGGGTAACGGCGGGGGGTAACGGCGGGGGGTTACTGGAGGGGTAACGGAGGGGGGTAACGGAGGGGTAACGGCGGGGGGTTACTGGAGGGGTAACTGGAGGGGTAACGGAGGGGGGTAACGGCGGGGTAGAGGAGCGCGGTCAGTCCTCGCTGACACCGCGAGCGCGACTGAGGAGGGCGGCGCAGCTCGTGCCGATATATTTAGGTGCCCCCCCCCCCACCACCACCACCATGCCTCCTCCCGCGGGGGGGGGGGGGAAGGAGTAGAGCCAGGGGATCAAGTGTCTCCCGCGTGCGGGGGGCGGGGGGGGTCCACCCTCCCCACGACACCTGCTCCCCTTTGTCAGGGGAAGCTGACAGGAAGCTGACAGGGAGTCCGCGACCCCGCCCCTCCCCCGCAAAACCCCGCCCCTCCCCCTCAAAACCCCGCCCCTCCCCCGCGACCCCCGCGA